TTCAAATTTCGCTTTCTCGGTCAAAACTACTCGAATTTCCTCACTCACGTTGTTACGACTGAATCGTCTTTTCAATTCTCTATCCAACGATGCCAAAACGAATTTTGTGGCTCAAGCGGTTCTTGCGAAACTTCGAAAAAAGCAGCGTCATGTTCAAGTGGATTCTGCAACTCAAAGAAAACCACGCAAATCTAAAAACTAAAAGAAGAACGTCCTTTAAACATCGACAATAGCAAAAATCGTGAGAAGATACTATTTTCTCAAAAGCACTCAATTTCCAGTATCATCATAATGTTCCATTTCTTCTCAAATACAGTGCCTATTTAACTCAATTTAACACTCTAAAAAACTGAAAAAAAAACAATTTTACTGCGTTTTTCGGGCGATTTTTCCTCAAGCAGAACAGATGGAGCGCGAAAACCGACCTCAAGGGCAGGTTTCTGTCGAAGAAAAGCCATCAGAGCTTCAAAGGGTCTTCATTCCGCAATTACTCTCTGTATATTCAAGGGCGGCTGCCGTTGTGCGGTAATATAAAGTATGCGAGCCCGGAAAAGTTTGCCAATCTCCCATTTTCAATCGCTGTTTGGAAAATGCGCCTTTCCACCCCAATTTTCCAATTTTCCTTAATTCCAGCCAACCCGCCCGTTCAGGGGCGCGCCCCCCTAATTATTCCTCATTCCGAGCACGGATATTCTGGATAGATTGTCGCGGACATCACAAGTGAAACTAGTAGGAGCGAACCTACATTTTTTTTACATAAATTTGCGGCAATATCGGACCCGTTTTCTATTCCCTCGGGACTCGTTCCTTTCTTTCTCCGTATCCAATCCGGGAGATTATCCCCGGCTTTTCCGGAATTTATTTAGGCCCCTGCAGATTTCCGAAGGACCTCAACCTGCCGGCCCTAATTCATCCCTGGAGTATTCCAGGTTTGCGACAATATGGCATATTTGATGGTTTTTTCATTAAATGTTTTCGCCCAGAATAATAATCTAGTTCTGGATAGAGCCACTAACTGGGCTTTGCACTTAGGCCTGGACTGGTAAAAGTTCGCCAGAGATTGAAAACCGCAGGATATCGCCGTTGATTGTTCTGTTTGGCCCGGAAAACTTCATTTTCCGGAACGACGGTATGACAGAGCGGCTCTAATTGAATTCGGGGCCTGATTTAATTAGCGAAGAAATAGTTGTTTGGGAGCGGTTAGTTCGAACAAGGAAAAATCTGCTTTTAGAGCAGCTACGGCTGGTGGAGGGCCAGCGGGTTGTAATTAAACTGTCGTCTTATTAAATTAGCCAACAAGGCAAGTTTTCTTCTTTGCGCGCTGTACATTTTCCACATTCGCGCCCTTTGGAGTCTATGGATCCAGACGGGACGTGACGAGTGTAGACAAGTCCTAATTAGCGAACACTGTGCTCAAAGCTTGGCAATTAGAACGGATAATTAGGAGAATGTTTGCGCGGAGAAAGTGCTGTTCAAGTTTGCTGGACAATTTGCAGGTTCACTCATTTTTCTCACTTGAGCAAACGCTCCCAGTCTGCAGCTTCTCTTCGAGCTTAGTTCACCTTTGGAGTGAGCACAGTAATTTGATGAGTGCAAATGCGTATTTTTTGCAAAGCGCAAGTTTAATTTTTGCTTATGTTTGTATTGTTTGGTTTTTACGTCTTCTTCACGTTTTTTTTTACAAACTTCCAAGTTTGGTCAATTTTTAACTGAATTTTGCAAACCCCAAAATTATGTTTTCCGGCATTTAGTCGCAGAAAATCCACTTCATGAAAGC